GCTCATCCAGCGCAGCCCCCCTCGCTCCCTCCAGTGCCAGTGGGACACATCCCGGCCGAGCTGCCTGTGGGCAGGAGGGTGTCCCCTCGGAGGCTAACCCTGCTTGTGGCAGCACCTGCGCAGCATAAAGATGATGCCCAGGGGTTTCTGAGTCGCTCAGGTTTGGGCTGAGTGATGTCCCGGAGATAATAGAGTGATGAGAGAGCTCATATTTGACTTTCATGATGGAAGGACATGTGCAGGGCTGGATTCTCCTGCTCTGCCCCAGCCTGCACGCTGGTGCAGGGACGCTCTCATCCCTCCTGCAGCTGTTCCTGTAGGCCCTGGGTGCTGTCCCTGGTCCCCCACCACTGCTGCTTCTGGTCCAGGCTGAGGCAGTAGCGTTGGGGCACACAGAGCACTGACCTGTCTTTTCCCTTGTGTGACTCCTCTACCGGTGCTGCTTTAGCTGGGAACAAGCGGTGGACCTGACATACTCCATGCACCTAGGAGAGAAGCTCAGTCTCACAGAGCAGGATGAGGCTGCTGTGCAGAAGTTTCGGTACGAGTGCATCTTGAGCAGTACTGCAGCACCTCGAGGGGCCTGGACCTGCTGGTGCTGCCAGGACTGGCGGCAGGGTCAGGAGTGGGGAGGATGGGTGCCATGAGATGCCTTTTGGATCGATACCATTCAACTCTGCTCAAGCAAAGGTGGCCTTTGCTCTGTGGAGCATCGGAGCAACTGCGTGGTGCTATTGCCACTGGGCTGGGGTGGCCATAAACACCTGGCACAGCGGTGGTGAGATACAGCCATGCCACTGCCTGCAGTGGGGACAGCTGCCTGGTGCCATACCGATGTGGTGACCATGAGATGCTGCAGCCAGTCCAAGCTGGGGCACCTGCACAGTGCTGGTGGGCAGGTCTGGGGCACAGCCTGGACTCCCCATCCTGTTAACACAGAGCCCCCCTGCAGGTCCATGCCCCCAGGCTGGAGCTACGAGCATGACATGGAGCTGGGGCGCTTCCTGCACGATCAGATAGAGAGGGAGCGACACAGCGCGGACTGCAGCAAGGAGCACATCAGCAGCATCGAGGTCTCCTCGCAGGCGGTGCGTACTGGGGCTCCACCATGGCCTGAAATCAACGTGACACATGTGAGCATTGCTGCAGCTGCGGCGAGAAGCAGCTAGCAGTGGCTGTCCCCTCTGCGAGGGACAGGGGATGGTGGTGAGGCTTTGCTGCTCTAGTGAAGCTGTGAAGAGTTGGGCATCTGGAGCAGAACCCCATTGTGTCTCTGGGGCACTGCAAGGGGTCCGTGGCTGTGCCCATCTTGCTCTGTGCGGGAGCCACCATCCACCTGCAGCCCAGCAAACCGAGGGGTTGACCCCGTCCTGACCTCCTCTGGCCCCCTGGGACCCATCCCAGGGGTGGCCATGGTGTGCCCAAGGATGCTAAGCTCCCTCCCTCTGCTCACTGCACTCTTGCAGGAGGACTGTGGCGTGGCCCATCTGACCGACAACCGGGTGGACACCTTCTGGGAGAGCAGCGGGCTCCCGGGGCAGCACTGGGTGCGGCTCAACATGAAGAAAGGCATCATTGTCAAGTGAGACCTCGGGGTGTGCCCTCCTGCCAGCAGCTGTGTCAGGAACGGGCAGGGTGTGGGGCAAAGCACCATCTTCCTGTGGAAAGCAGCTTTCCCTGGGCTGTAGCCAGGGGCTTGGGGTTGAGGTTGGGGGGCAGCTGCTGCTAGATGCAACCCAGGAGGATGTAGCCTCGTCCCCAGCCCTGGGACATCTCCAGAGGCATCTCCAGGCAGCCTGGGAGGGGAGCACAATGCTGCCCATCTCTCTTCTCATCCCCAGGAAGCTGTGGCTGGTGCTGGCTGGGGAGGTCAACAACTACGTACCCAGGAGGGTGGCCGTGTACGGCGGGTCACTGAACAGGCTCCAGCACCTGAGAACTGTCCTTATTAATGAGTGAGTAACAAACGAGGAGCAGCCTGGGTCCAGCCTGGGCCGAACACCCAAGCTGCCTCTGCATCTCGAGCACATGCTAAGGAAAGGGCTGGGAGTCAGTCCTGAGGGACCTGGTGGTGATGGCAGCTCTCAGCAGCTCCTTGGATGCAGGTTACATCTGTCCTCACAAGCATGGTGGCCCCTGCCTTCATGGGCCAGACAAGCGCTTTCGTCTCTGCTCCTGCTTCTCATCTGTGCTGCGGCAGCTGGGCTGCAGTGTGCTTCCTCCTGCCTGGTGACTCTGGGGGTCTTTTCCCCGCCGTCGCCTCCTCCTCCTCCTCTTCCTCCCCACCTCTAGGAGCATGTGGCCCTGCTGTCTGCTTTCTGAGCGTCTCTGCTGTGCTGTAGCCAAGCAGTCCTGGGGTGCTTCACCTCTCCCTTTGCTCTGGCTCTGCAGAACCCTTCTCAAGGTGGGCAGGGGTTTACACAGGGGTGCAAAGATCTCAGCCTCCTTCCCCAGAACTTGCCTGTTTGCCTTTTTTTGGCTGAGCACTGAGATTTGTCTTTGAAGAAGCACCTGCAAGACCACCGAGGTCTCTTTCCTGGTGGCAGGAACCAACTCCTCGCTGTGTCTGGGCAGTCGCAGTGGTTTTTCCCCACATGCCTGTAGGTTTTTGATGGGACCTTGCCAAAGGCTTTGGAAATACAGGCGAATCGCTTACCAATTTTCTCATCTCCACAAATCCCCATTTCCTTTAAAACACATCACCCTTGTGTGACCTCAGCTCGAGGGATGGCTGTGTCGATGCGAGATGCACCGGGATCCCCTGGGAGCGGCAGTGCGCTTTCGGCCATCTCACCTTTCTGTTCTGCTTTGAATTTATGGTCTTTTCTGGCTCCTCTCTGGATGCGGCTTCCACCTTCTTCAGGACGTCTCTGTGCCTCTGACAGGCTCTTCTCTCCGCTCAGTCTTCTCCTGCCGCAGCCCTGGTGAGGTGGAGGGGCTTTCACCGCGGGTAGTAGTGCATCCTTGGCTGGGGAGCCAAAGTGGCCTGTGCCTGGCTGGCCACCTCGCTGGTGTCTGTGCCTCCCAGCTCTGCCATTTCCCTCCATGCTGTGTGCAGGAACAGCTACCAGAACATCTGCATCCTCCGTGACATGAAGACCCACCTGCCAGTGCTGGAGATCCGCATCCTGGAGTGCCGGGGTGAGCCTGCGCTGTGGCTCTTCCTGCCGCACTGGATGTTTTTTTGGGTCTGGTGGGAGGAATGAGCCTCATTTAGGATGCCACAGGTGCTGGGGGCTCCTTGCCCCTGGTTGCAGCATCCGAGCCGTGCCGGCCACACCGCTGCAGCTGTGCATGCAGCATCACTGTCCTTTCTTGGCAGAGCAAGGGTACAACGTCCGCCTGCAAGGGATTAAGATGAAGTCCGTCTGGGAGTGGGACCTGATCCTCAACGCCGACATGTTCCAGCCGGCTCAGCTGGTGCGCTACCCTCTCCTGGAAGGGGTGGATGCTGACGTGCTGTACCGGCGGGCCGTGCTCATTCAGAGGTATGGCGCAGGGATGGCACCATCCCCGCAGCGAGCCCAGGCCCTGAGAAGGACCATGCCTCTAGCAGGAGGTTGCGTGTGTCTTGCTAAAAGTCTGCCAGCTCCTTTCCATGTGCGTCAGGGGCTTCAGCTTGCTGCTCCCCATCCAAACAGAGCTGCTTCCAGTGCCTGGGGAGCATGGTGCTGGCATGGGGCAAGGGGAACCCACAATGGGGAGTTTCCCACCCCACCGCCTGTAGGGCAGCCCCGGGCTGGGGTCAGCACTGGCCCCACAGAGAGACCCTCTGCAGGGAGTCAGCTGCAGTGCTGCGGCATGGGCTGGGCTGCCCTTGTTTGCAGCTTTTTCTTGGGGAGGTACAAAGTAAAGAGCTTTACCAGAGGGTGCTGGTTGAGTGCTCCCCTTGGTGGGCTGGAGGAGATGCACGTGCAGGGAGTGTGGTGCCCAGGCTCGGTGCGTGCCTGGGGCTGTCTGCAGTGAAACGCCACGGGTGTATCGGGCTCCATGCATCCGGCAGCCCCCTCGCATCCTCACGCTGGTGCTCTCTGGTCTCCAGGTTCATCCACCTCCTGGACAGTGTTCTGCATTACCTGATCCCCCTCTCTGAGGACAGCAGCACCTGCAAGGCACTTAGGGTGAGCATTTGCCGGGCTCCCCTGGGATGGTGCCGGTAGGACCATCTCCTCCCTAGGCTCAGCTGGTTTCCCTGGGGGCTGTCGAGTGTGTCCCTTGATCCGATGGGGACAGAGCAGCCCAGGGCTCACGCTGAAAGCCGCCATGCCAGGCATTGCCAGAGGGATGGAGGAGCTGATCATCCCCTGCGAGACCAGGAGCTGTGTTTGGGGAAGGGGAAAGAGGGCACACGGTGGCAGGATCAGGTCTCTAACCATTCTTGCTCATCCCCTGCTAGAGCATGAAGCCGCTCCTGCTGCTGTCCAAGCACGGCGCAGCCCTCATTGCCCACTACCTTCAGTCCTCGGAGAGCACCCCCCCTCGCACCCTACCAAAGCTCTACATCAACCGGCACCTGGCCCGGGAGCACCGCGCCAACCCCGCGCTGGATCCCAGCTGCAGGAACACCGTCTTCACCCAGGTACAGCAGCGCCATGCCCCATGCTGGGTACCTGC